CGACACGGTGGACAAGCTGAAGATGCTGGAAGGGCGCAAAACCAGCATCCGCAAGTCGGTGCAGGTGGCCTACGACCGAGCCATGATCCACATGAGCCGCGTGCGGGGCGATCACCCCTTCGTGACACCCAGTTACCTGTGAGGACTCGGGCTCGGGCTCGGCCGCTCCTTGTCTCCTCCAGCCCCAGCGCTCCTCCAAATACCCCGAAACGTGCCAAAAAAAATAGCCTGTCCGGCATCTTTCTGAATGTGTCTCGTTGAAGAGCTGGCAGGAGCTGAAATGTAGAGTCCAGGGGGCCAGGAGGAAGGCGCTGGGAGAAGCCGCGGGGCGATGGGAGCCGAGGGGACCTCGCGCACCCTCCCTCATCCCCGCTGTCCCGGGGTTTTGACGTCGAGTGATGCCCGGGTCCCCATCGCCGCTGGGACCGAACCGGGATCCCGTCTGGAAATCCCAGCTGGCTTTTTTTTTCTCTCGTGCCAAATGTACCCTTAACCATCGCTGGCCTTTCGGTTGTTTTAGGTGACGTTGATTGTCCCCTCACACGATAAAACAAACCAACCCCAGAGCTGGGAGTCGGCGTTGCGAGTTTCCTGCCTACGCACACGGTGTTTTCACCTTGGCTTTCTCTCACTGCGTTTAGGAACAAAAGCTCAAGAGATTTCGGTTCCCTTCCCCTCTGCTCCACACACGGACGTGCACAGAGCTTTAAATACCAGAAGCGAATCACCCGTGGGGGTTTTTTTCCGTGTGGGTATTTGTCCTATTGGGTATTTTCACATTCAGATTCCGATTCCCATCGCGGTTCCTATCGGGGTTTGGGGCACAACCGAGGCTGAGCAAAGCAAACTCCCTTCCGAGCTCACTTTTGGAGGTGTCGGAGGAGCTGGGGCAGCTCTGCAGGCACCGAGGTTGATCAGGGTCGGGGGCGGACGCATCTCGTGTGGTGGTGACGCGCGTTTGGTGCGGGGCTCCTCTTTATTTTCCTTCCCTTTTTTTCTGTCTGTTCACGTTTTCCTGGGTCGGTTGGGGTTGAAGCGAGCGTTTTCACCTCCTCCCATACACGGATCCTATCCCGGTGCGGGGTCTCCATTCAAACCCATCCACTCTGCAAGACAACCCCAACAATTTTGGGTTTGCATTGCAAACAACCTGGATGACAAAAAAAACCCTTTTCCTATTCGCCAAGGACTTCCCGGATTTCTCCGCTCTCATTTCTTTTGCAGCTCCCTTTTATTTTTGCTTTCCCACGCGAAGAACCAAAGGTGCAAGAGCAAGATTGTAGAGTGAATCTCATCATTGCGCTTTTTAAAAAAACTCAGTATTTTTTTATTACGTTTCACTTTTTCATACTGAAAGAGAATGTGGGGGCAGGGGGGGGTTCAACAAAATATGAATTAATAATAATAATAATAGTGGGGAGTAAATCACTGCCATTTCTACTCGGTCTACTTTTTTAAACTACCACTTCTTATACTTTGGGACACGGCCCCACACTTTAAGGCAGATTCCTGTAACATATAGAGCTGGGGCATAGGGGTTTTGTACAAATAATAATAGTAATAAATAACGCCTGTGGAGTGTGGCGAGGGAAGGACGTGGTGTAAATAGCTGTAAATAAGGTCCTAAATTATTTAGCCCGCTCGTCACCGTTCTTCAAGTCCTCGGTTGTGTCGCTGGGTCTTTTATATGCACACGGTGTAATTTATTGGGAGGGACGTACACGTTTCCGGGTGGTAGCTCAGCTGTGGACTCGTGACCTGTGTATATGTTTGAAGATCTTGGGGTTTTGGGGTTTGGTTTTTTTTTTAAAAAATAATGACATTTTAGCCTGGGAATTGGCTGATCTGCTGTTGCTCCGGGACCCAAGCGTTCCTGTCAGTCTGCTGTAAAGCACAGATCGCTCTATTTATTGTAGAAAGTGAGTTTATTTGCTTTCTAGAACTGTTTATATCAGAGGGTATAAGAGAGGTAATAAGAAAATAAAAATCTATGCTTGTAAAGAGAAAAAAAGGAGAAAAAAAAAAGCTAATTTTACCTACTATAATCTGACTGTCTGAGACTATATTTTCTCTCTGAGAAATAAATGTTCTAATGTATAAAAATATATATATAAATAAGAGGGTTTTTCTTTTCCTTGCTGCTGTGGTCCTGAGGTCCAGGACGTGACGGTTTCTGCTCATCCCAGTTTGCAGCGAGCGGTGACAGGGAAGGGACACAAGAGGGGACACCACCTCTGGTGCCACCTCCAATGTGTCCCGCAGGTGAGGTTGTGCCGTGGGTGACTGGGGGGGGTGGCTGGGACACCCAAAAAAGGTGGGAATTGGGAATTTGGGGGCTTGAATCCCACCTGGTGATGCTCACGGGGGAGCCCTGGCACACCAGGCTGTGGGCAATGAGATTTGCTGGGCAATGGAGCCGGGAGCCGAGCGATGCTGGGCGATGGGGACCCGGGGGTGCTTTTCCCTTCCCTTCCCCATCCCGTTGCCATCTCAAGTGCCCCAGATTCTGCAGGGGACAGGCAGGGATCCCTGCTTGAGGCCTCATCCGGGCTCTTGCCCCCTTGCCCAACCTCTGGTGATTGTCAGCCCCATCCATGAAGAAAACCAACCCTCATTTTCCCTCAATCTCCCCTCCCTGTCGTGGTCTGACCCTGCAGCTCCACCTGATACTGGAATAACAAGCAATTAAATCCTGTTTTCTCCTCACAGCTTTGTCCTGTTGGATATTTCTGCCTCAAAAAAAACCCCTTCTGCTCCAAATTAAAATGTGAAGGCAAAGCTGCCCCGGGCTCTCCAGTGCCAGTTTGGGTTTGCCCTGGATCTGTTGGGATCCCTCAGGGGCTGCCACCAACAGCGCCTTAGCCTCAAACCAAGCATTAATTGGCAGCGTTGCAAGCAGAACTTGGAGAAGTTTTCCTCTTCCCCGGCCGTTGCTGCGTGGTTCTTTTCAGAGAGGCGAAAAAAAAGAAGGAAGAAAAGAAAATAACACAGGAAGAGCCCCTGGATCGGCTCATGGGGATGGGGACACCCATTTGCATCCCCCATGGCAGGGAGCGAGGGCTGAGCTCTGGGCAAGGAGCGCAGGTCACTGGACTCGCACAGAAATAATTGGGTTTATTCCAGTCCATTGCACTTTAAAATGGCATTAACAGGGGATAGAAAGCGACTGAGGGGGTTAAGGATTTGACCTCAGCAGCACCAAGGGAGGTTGAGCCTCCCATGAGCTGCTGGGACCAACAGCAAAGTCTGGTGACGCCACTGAGTTGCCCAGCACCACACAGAGAGGGTGGGGAAACTGAGGCACGGGTGGGGAAACTGAGGCACAAAGGGGGGGGGCAGGTCAATGAGGCCTCACTGCCGCCAACCCCACTGCAAACACTTGCCCGACCGCACGGTTCAGTCCGTTTGGGGTTTTGCTGGGGTTTTTTTCCTCGTCACATTAAACCAGTGCCCCCCTGGGCTGTCCCTCGGAGAAAACACCAAAAGGCACATGCAAAGATGAAGGAAAAGAGAAAACAGGGGAGGAGAGCCATTTCTGGAGACACTGTTTGGAGTTTTATTGGCAACACGGCTCTGCCTTTCACATGCTCGGCCCCGGCCTCGCTGCCTTTGCCCACCGGGAATGGCCCTGGAAAGCGCAGGGACCGGGACCCTCCGCGTCCCCCGAGATTGTCCCCGTTGCCCCCCAGGGCCTGGATCCATCCCCTTGTCCCCTCCCGCACCCAGCCCTTGGTGCGGCGTGGGAAGAAACCAGCTCAGGAGAACGCTCACCCATGGGGGGAGTTAAAAGCAGATGGGGGTGAGACCCAGACCCATGGGAGGAGGCGTCTGCAGGGCCGGGGAACACCGGACCCAGGCCTGTTCATCCCCAGATCCGGGACCCTTCATCCCTGGAGCACCCACCACCCTTGTGGGGGGGGCAGCCCCAGCGGCCACCGAGCCCCCAGACCCTGTTTCCTTGACACGGCTCCTCCCTGTGAGCTCCCACCTCCTTTAAACGCCCAAATCCTCTTTGTAAGAGACCTCAAGATCCATTCCTATTGCCCCTCATCCTGGCAGATCCAACACTGCAAAGCAGCACCTTGGGGCAGAAATACCTGTGGCTCCGAAATGTCCCCCCCTGCCACCTCCAGAGGGGCCCAAAGCCCCCGTACCCCAGCGTGGAGAGGATGGGGAGGAGAATGGGTGCACGTTATAAATATAAAATCATTATCTGCTACAAACAGAGGACGTATATTGTACATCTTTGACCCATATACACAAGAACACAATATACACAGAACGCCTCGGTGGAGCGGGGGCTTTGCGAGGGGATTTGGGGAGGTGCTGCTCCCCTCCCAGCACCCCCCACGCCCGAGGGGGCTGCACCCAGAGCACATCAGCCCCTGCAAGTCCCATTGAGCTGAACCACGCGTGGATGGAGCGGTCGTGTCCCCCCCATCCCCATGCCAGGGGGAGGCGAAAAGGATGGCGAGGATGGGGGGCAGGCGCCAGGGGCTCTCTCGTGAACCCACAAAGTGCTTTAGACCCTGGCCCTGAGAGAAACTTCTTGCCCTGCCGCCCTCAGTGGGGGGTAAAGAGGATTTTCCAGCCATGGGGGGTCTCCGATAAGGCATTTTCATCTGGGATCTGGAGCAAACGGCGCTGGAAGAGCGAAGGGAGCAGATGGGGCAGCGCAGGTGGAGGCAGCGAAGCCAAGGTGGTCCCAGTTGGGCAGGAGATGGAGAGAACAGGAGGGCACATCCTCGGCTCAGTTTAGTGGTGGGGGAAGCTGCCCCCCTCCCATGTCCCCCC